AATAATATCAAAAGACATGAAAAGAGATAGATATTAAAAATCTCGGCTTGAATGAAAGAGAATTCCAGGACACACAAATTTGTCTATTCTCATATTTCAGGCTAGTTTGATATCTTGGAACAAGATGCTTCGAGCCAGAAGGGCATTGACTTGTACCCCTTGCCATTATGTCCATACCCTTCTGGTTCTTTCAGTATACAGCCTACATTACTGCAGCTAATGAGATTACTATCCACACATAAAGGTTAATGCATTGTGTGCCTTCCAGGTGTATTTTTAATCCTTTCTTTGTAGATTAGAAAAGAAAGGATAAAACAGAATACAGGGAACTAATTACCCTTTACCTATCAATGTTAACAATTCAGACAATGTTAAGATTGAAATGTGTTGTTGATTAGATAGAGAAAAAGATAGATGACAAATTTAAAATGCATATTTCAAGAAATTTTCATCCACAACTGCACCGTTCTGCTGGGCACACAACAAATTGAAGGTAAAATGTCTACCAACATAGTGAGGAAAGGAACAATGCCATAATACACTTATGTTTGAATGAAGAAAAAAGCTAATCCTTAATCATTAAAATTGGTATCTGTTCTATCATGAGAAACCAATAGTTATATTTCAACTAGCATTGCACCTGAATAAGTAATCGTCTTTCTAAGCCCAGAAGTCAAACAGTGAAAGCATTAATCACAAATGAACATACTCCAATAGATTGTATTTTCTTTACCTAATATATATATATATATATATATACAATAGCCATATTGTATAGAAACACAATATTTACAAGAATTTCGACCCAATACAACTAATTTTCACTAAAGTTGCATGGACATTGTCAGTTATCAAGCATAAAGTCTGCATGACTTCAATAACTCCACCAAAGCTTTAATATCTGTACACTCATATATGTCATCTATATCACAACAAGGAAACAAAGAAGATAGTCGTACATAAATAAGACAGTCATAAAGACAAATTTATCAAATCACATCCTTTCTTGGAAAGAGATCTCAAACATGCAACCCTTGATATGATCCCAACAGGACATCCAATCTCTGGGTCTCTGAGAACAGACTATGACAATACCAGGTTCTTCTGTTCATCCTGGCTGGTACGCACTCCTGCAACACCCATTCATCCTAATCACAAGCGCCCCTGCGCATCAAAAGACACGGCACGTGCCCATTTATATCCATTGATTACCCCACCACAAACCCCCCTGTATGTCCTCCAAATTCCCACACAGACCCCCCTTTCATAGACCCTCCACTAGCTCTTCACAAATCAAAGGGGAATTATCCATAATGCCGATATTTGATGCTATTTGATGCGGCTCTACCACCGGTGAAACACAACCATAAAAGCCATCCCTCTCAATATCGAAATGAGAGATTTTCCGCAAATTGGGACGTTGTGGATTAGGGTTTATTTGTACAAGCTCACATCCATCATGTACCTGACTCGAGGCTGACACTGATATTTTCAGCGCAAATAGAGAGAGATTTTACCAGTTCTAGATAAAGTAAAGACAAACTAATGTATCTCTCTTCAATTGGTTGGTGTCTTACTCAAATTGGATTTGTTTTCAATTGCCAAGGACTTCAGTAGAGATCATTCTTAATGAAGAAGCATGGTTTTCATTGTGATGGTTTGGGGTTTTAGAGTTTCCACCAAAGACAGGGGCACAGTCCATAACAAGAACCAGACAATCAGAAAAAATTGTTATAGTTTTACCTCACTTTTTCATTGTCCTTATGAAAATTTGGACTGGGACTTTTGAACAAAATAATAACTTTCATCCTTAAAAATGTAGATTGTGCTAACCCCTACAAATAACACATCTCTGCCTTGCTTATTTTCTCTCTTTACATAATAATTTATTTGCTTTCTGAAATCAAAAAACATTTATTTTATCATCTGTTTTAATTAATCAATAGGGATTATAACAATAATAATATCCTTATAATAAAGTAATGATCTAATTATTCCTCTGATCAATCCAAATCGTTGGTTAACAGCTAGAAGGGCATTAACTCAGTGTTAATTAAAATATAGGAGCTAACAGCCTTCTAGCTCCAAATAGAGAAAGTATTCAACTGATATAATCATAGTTTAACTACTAATGCCACGGTAATCATACCATGTTTTGTCAAATCAATACCAAACAAAAATATAAACAATCTATGGAATTCTGTTTCTTAGTTTCAGCTGACCCAAAACAGAAAACATCAAAGGCATCCTACTTCAGAATAGACTGGAATAGAACCGAAAGTCCCTCTCATCACTTATCCATCTCCACAGAAATACCTCATCTCCAAAAAAAGAGATACCCATCACTTTGGAATCACATCTAGCACCTTCCATCCCTCCTTCTCTCCCTCCACCATTCTCCACCTTACTGGCTCAAGTTTAGTTTATCACCATGAAACATCATTTCAGATATATTTATGGCACAAGGAATTTTAATTAGGCAAATCCCATGGCAATTTTC